GATCATAAAATAGTCCTCTGCACCCTTCCGATTCTTGCCAAGTGCTACAAATTAGAGATATTAAATACGCGTTTCCAATATAGAGACTGTGCAAACGCTGACTGGGAAAACGTTCGGCTTCTAATAAAGCATTCTGACCGGAACAGTTTTTTCAAAAGTGATAACCTTCTAGAAACATTGGAAATATTAAATACTACCATCGAATCTGTACTAAACACTACCATTCCTTCTAAAATTACTTTCGAAACAATTACTTCCTATATTAACCAAAAGACTAAGTCTAAGCTGCGAAAACTAAGAAGGACGTACTTTATTTCAAAAGACTTTAGTGCCCTGCACCAGATATCTTCTCTACTTGAGGAAGTGCAAAGTCATCACAACAAACATAAACAGGTAGCTGAACGTACTGCGCTCACTGCTTCAACTAAAGCCCAAAACTTATGTCGGCTTCTAGCAAAACGTATGAGAAAGAACGAAGATCACATTTTTAATGCACGATGGCGTGACGTATTATGACCAAACTGTCATGTGCGAACTGTTAAGTGAATGGTTTTCCCAAGACGGGAATACATCTCATACCCCAGATATTAACATAAAGTGCATCAGAAAAAATTATCTCAGCACCATAAACTTCGATATTAGGAGTATACACACCGCAGTCAAAACCTTTCAGTTGAATGTGAGTTTTGGCACCGATGACATCCCATCAATTCTCTATAAAATACCAGAACCGGATGGACAGGCGTTATTAGTCAAAATATACACAGTATCTTTAGAGGCGGGTACATATCCCGAAACCTGGAAGGTAACGTATGTTCTTCCCAAACACAAATCAGGACCGAGAAGCGTGATCGAAAACTACGGACCTATAAATATCACTCCAGTTTTATCACGCATAATGGAAAAAGTGATACAAATGAACTATCTGATCACCTACTTAAGGAAGACCTAATAGACCCATCGCAACATGGCTTCATTGGAACAAGGTTCTGCAGTAGATGTCTGATAGACTTCTTTAACTAGGTTACTCACATACGTGACCAGAAGAAGCTAGTGATCATACTATATTTCGATATAGAGAAAGCCCTTAATAAAGTACCTCATGATCTTCTAATCAACAGACTCCAGTCGGTTGAAATTATAGACTCCCTATTGCAATGGGTTAAGTCTTTCCTCACAAACAGATACCAAATAGCTAATATTTAATTCATCCTTCGTAATTTCTTTCAAGACCAAACTTAAATAGTTCTTTACAAAGTTTGTGTATGACCTATCGTCGAATACTGCCCGTTCTTAATTTCCAACCTGCGCCTATCCGATATACTTAAGATGGAAAAAATACACTGAGATTTCACTCGCAAAATACGTAAGAATGACTAATTCATTGACTACAGTTTGTGATGCCATATCTTAGTACTAGAACCCCCCTGGAAGGGAAGGCTTCGGTCAAATTTCATTCTCTATTTCAAACTCCTCAAAAGCCCTACTTATTTCACATATAATGTGGTTCTCTCCCAAGACTCGCATGAATACAACCCTCGAGACAAAGTATTCACGGTCGAAGTTGAGAAATACAGACCGAAAACTCGGGAAAACTTCTTCCTCATCAAGTATTCATTAATATGGAACTGTCTTCGCTCTCAAATGCTCATGGCAGATAAATTACACACGTTTATAAGACTTATCGATCAGGTCCTCACCTTCACGGATCTAGCACAAACAAACATATCCGCGTCGCACACAGATATCGTAGGCTCCTTACATATATAGACTAAATTGCCTTATTTCCCTAATTTATAGTTGCATCAGATGCTTCCCCCTGCTTAATTTTTTTAATGAAGTAAACAGGCAACTCACTGGACCTATCAATACTCGGTCGCTAAGAGACGCTTACAAATACCGTAAAGAGTCAAGAAACCGCACAATCGACTGCCTTTTACCAGTGGTCTTGCACCTATGGAACCTGTTACCCATCAACCGGTTAGGATAGAACAAAATAACATCAGCACGAACTTAACGAGTTTCTTCTTGTTTATCCTTTATCAGCTTTTTACTCTCCCGTGCACTATGTTGCTTTGCCATCAATATTATCTCACCACTAGCTACCTTCTCTGTAACTAATATATTTCTACACTTTTCCGCCTACTTTGGTACGCTTCTTTCTTACATTATACTCTCCCTAATGCCTATACTCTGATTGGCAACATATACTTTACACTATAGTCAATTAAAGCATTGCGTCGAAGCCTTACCCATAGTCCATAATTTGTAACTGTCTGATAAGCTTGTAGAAACAGTGTTTTCCAACAGGATGGGAAACATGGAGCATTTTGTGAGGTAAGATATATGTCCAAAAGAAGCTTTAATCAGCCTAACATCACAAAAAGAGGGAGAGTATAGTTACTGACCAGCAAGCATTGATGATGAGGACGATGACTTCAATCCATCTATGTTTGTGTGGCAGAACATTTTGTTTGTATCAGGCTCTTTATAGGTGAGAACAAGTCAATCAATCCATGATATTGGGGCTGTTCTCCTACGCTCACTATTCAGACTCACGTTTCTGATTTTTATGCTAGATTAGCTATCCTACTGAGACAACCTATAACATGCTTACTCGGACTTTTACATGAAAACTGTATGGCTGGCATTGGATGATGAAAAAGACTATAGAGGATATGGTTGTCAGGTATCATTACCATATTTTGATCTGATAATTTTGAATAAAGTGAGCATTGGGTAGATTGTTATATACAAATAATATATTTGTAATATCCCAATGAGTTGAAAAATTAGATTTTCTGAAGTTTGAAAATGAAAAGCACTGTTTACAACAAGTAAGACAAGTGTAGGTACATCCTGTCAGCTGCTATTTCATTTACTTATGGAGTTCGATAATGATAATGAAGTTTAATAGTCTGTTTCATGATTGGTTTGTTGTTTTTCGGAATTGCATGAAGCTGAGAAGGTCCTCATGCGTTTTCTGATGTGCAATCTATGACTTCTGTCAACCAATTGAAAGGCTCAAACCTTTCTAATAATCAAGTTTATGCCGGTGAACATCCGAGCGAATTTCTGAATATGGAAGATTATGTGGAGAGACAATTTGTAAGTTGACGGTGACTGTGTTTTATATTGACTACTGCCACGTCTATTCATCTAATGAATTATATAAATATAAATATAACAACTGTACAGTAATTTGCATTATAAATCTTATTAGTATGCATAATTATAGTCTAGTTCGGTACCAATACTACTTCGATAAGAGGCCTGATCCAAGAACGGTAAATTTGTCATGTGATTGCCTAATCTGCAAGATCTTACGTGGAAGTCGCATCACTGTCTACACTAACCTATTGTCAATATTGTCAATCGTGACAATTACCAATGATACTTAGTACTTCTTAAGAACACATTTATACTGGGGATAGAATAATATATTTAATGTGGATAGTAATAAGTTACACGTAACGACCATGCCTGCAGGACAGGGCCATGCCATCCGATTGAATGGATGTCACCACGTCCATCACTGCCGAGGAAGACAAAAATAAAAATTCGGCAAAAGTGTATTGGTGCATCGTTGCTACCGGTACAGAAACAACAACATTTGATGCAGAAAAATCAGTTTATAAGTTGGATATATAGTTAAGTTAAAAATGCTACTACGAAAAACTTCTTATAGTGAACAGCCCTTGTCACGTCTCCACACTTTGTTGTATTCCAATCCATGTTTTCTATTGTGGAGAACACTACACAAAGAAAGGCGTTGGAGAGACTACAGCTTTACATATTTATTGATGATTCCTAAGTGAAAATTGACTTCGTTGAATCTGTACATAATGTTTGTTTAGACTGGGTAGTTGTGATTATGGAAGTGTGTATGTTATCTATCTTCCATCAACTGCAGTATCTAAGAATATGATGGACTATACAGTTTATATTTCGTAGTTGATCGAGCTTACGTATAAGAGTTCGTCTTCCTATGTATACTAGTAGCATATGACGGCAAGGACACCGGAATGTCAAAATTTATTCACGATCCAGGTTATGTCTGCTCGCAATTCTTTTTGCTTCTAGAGAAACAGAGCAGAACGCTATCGACCAAATTTATCCCTAAAATTTACCAAAACCGGACAAAAGTTTCCCCCAAACGGGGAGATTGGGAGTGAAGATAGGACCAGTATTGAAGTTTGACAACTATTAACCAGTAACACCTTCTATATTCGAATCGTCTCCCAGAAGTCAGATGCGAAGAGGTTGGAAAGATATATTTAATGCGTTATCAATATATCGAGAAGCGGTTGTTCTAATCTGGCTAGTGAACGTAGGAGCTGTTTCCCACGCTGAGCTGTAACGTGATCTGGTGCGGATGCATGACAGAACACCTTCAGTTAAATAAGTCCACTTAAACTAATGTGATCAGCATCAAATGTCGAACACTTAAGAAGCTATTGATTTCGGGGAATTATTTACCGCTACAGGAGGTTACGGAGCAACAATCGTTCCAACGCGTGCACTATAAGACAGAGAGAGCTAAATAAATGTTCATCGCAATGATTTTTTGATTTTGCTGCAGCAAAAGTCCACTTATATATAAGAAAACCTGATATTCATGCAACTCAACAGACACTCTACAGGTCCTCAGCAATCGAAATACGGAATGACCGCCTCTTGTCAGGCCTTTCAAGGTCGTTGAAACGAAACGGCGGGCGGCTTTGGGAGGGCCTAGCTTTTTTGTCGTGCCATCATTTTGCGACCTTCAAGACCTCAACGACCTCGATCAGTGGACGATACTCCTGAAGCGTTGGTGTATTTAATTTCATTTGTTCGTCCATCTATCATGGTTTATATTTAAAATGCTTTTTCAAGTCACAATAATTCATATTGTTCATATTACCAAAATGTAATTTTTGACTCGGATAATATTTGCCTTCAACCTAGATCTACATATACTGTGGAGTGTATCTAAGTGATCACTGCATAAACCTACTGAGATGGAGTATTTATTTCCTGCATCGATGCAGTGTTCATATTCTGACGTATCTAGCTCCATAATTTTTCATGAGACCCAAAAGTATCTTGAAAGGTAATTTATTACACATATTATATGCTTGCCGAATTTAAAATTTTCTTAACAACAATTAGGGTAACTGGCAGTCTTATCAACTTGTGTTTCCGTACTTCAGGTTTTTTAACACAAATAATGTCAGATTAAGTAGTAGGTTATGCATTCATGAGATATGATTCATTCACATCATTGGTCTTTTTTCATTTACAAATTTCCTTTACTTTTTTTGCAAAAATGATCTACGTTCATCGTCTTTCACACGTATCATTCCCGCTAACCGGGTTCTATACTACACGAAATTAATTGTCTTCAGTCTTCAGTAATAAGGATAGTAGGTTGATGAACCTGTGTTAATACTGACTGATTTCCTTCCTGTGAAGGTCCAGCTTCTTGAAAATGTTCACTGATGGTGCTGATACCACTTGTTCTGGTAAAGCGTTCCAGTCATTGACCACTCGATGAGAAAAACGGGACCCCACCTTTAGTTTATTAGATCGCGGTTTCTGAACATTCTTGCTATGACCTCGGAGATTATTAGTGCTGGAGGGAGCAAAATGATAAGACATTAACACCCAGATCATAATTAAAGATACGAAATGCCAGTACAAAGTCACCTCGTGTCCTACGATAAGATAAGGGGAAAAGGTTTAGGCGTTTTAAACGCTCATCGTAAGGGAGTTTGGAAAGACCCTTTACTAATTCTGTCCTCACACGCTGGACACGCTCAAGCGATTTAGTATCCTTTATCAGACATGAGCTAGCTGCTTGGATACAGTATTCTAAGTGTGGCCTTACATAGGTGGGATATAAAATTCGAAACATCCTCGTCGAAGCATTTAAATGCTCTGCGAAGCGACCATAGCGCACGATAGCCTTTGGAAGCAACCGCATTGCAGTGCGTAGTGGTTTTCAAGTCGTGACTTATAGTTACTCCTAAGTCTTTGTGCTCTTGAACGCGTGGAAGAGATGTACCATTAATGGTATAGTGGTAACTAATATCGTGCCCGATGTGCATGAACACGCTCTTTCTGGAGATAACTCTCAGGCCCCAATCATGAGCCAACCTAACTAATTCGTCTAAATCTGCTTACAGATAACAACGATCAGTCTCATTTCTTATTGTTCTCCAGATTTTAACATCATCCGCAAACAATAACGTCGACGACTTAAGTAATAAAGGTAGTTCATTAATATACAGAAGGAAAAGTAAAGGGCCTAAGATGGTGCCTTGGGGTACACCACTTTTGACCGGTTTCCATTCAGATAGCGTTCCATTGACCCTTACTCTCTGTCTGCGGTCACATAAGAAGCTTCCTATCCATTCCTGTGTAGCACCTGTTATTACAAAGCTCGAGAGCTTTTGCATAAGACCTAAGTGTGAAACATTGTCAGACGCTTTGCTAAAACCAATGAATATCACGTCACTCGCTCTCTCGCTTGCCGTTCGCTCGCTCGTTGATATTCGCTCAGGTGTTGTTAGCTTTTTGACCCGAGTTATTCGACAATAAACTGTAGTTGCTGCTATCCTTCGTCTTCTGATTTTACGCACCGCTAAGTTTAGAATTATAACGGTTATCGAAGTAAACGATTAACGAATCGCGGCACTACAACCTAAGTGTGAAACCTTGTCAGACGCTTTGCTAAAATCAATGAATATCACGTCAACAGATAGGCCGTTGTCTAGGGCAGCTGTCCAGTCCTCTCTCGCAATGAGTAAGTTAGTCAAGCATGAATGCTGGTTACGAAACCCATGTTGCTCGGGAGTTAACAGATTGTACGAATCTATGTGACTCAGTAGCTTAGCCCGAATTAATTTTTCAAGTAACTTAACTACTATGCTGGTCAGGCTAACAGGCCGGTAGTTAGATATGATCCGTCTCTGACCATCCTTAAATATAGGACTAACTACAGCGTCTTTCCAGTCTCTAGGTAGTTGAGCCTGTGAAAGGGACATGTTAAAGAGCATCGTGAGCGGTCTTGAGATAATGTCCGCAAGCGATGACAGCAAACGTGGGTGTAACCCATCGGGGCCCGGTATCTTACAAGGTTTAAGGTTAGTTATCAAAGGAAGAACAATATCCTCTGTCACGTGTAAAGGTCTTATGGCTGGTATCTCGTTGTCAACGGGACAAGTAGTTGTAACACTACACGTAGAGTAGACTTCACTGAAATAGTTAGCAAGTGTCTCCGCTTTCGCTAGATCAGATTCAGCCAATAAATCTGAATTTTTGCCTAATTATGGGGTAATTCAGACAGCATTTTTGTGAGTAAATCACGAAACATGCAGTTTATTATTAATGAAAGTATGCGGATATTTCTACTCAAACGTGACTTTAAAATTTGTCATTAACGTTTGCTTCGGTGGTGACAGTAAGCTTAATAATATTTCATGTAAATAGTTTGACCAATGAAGGTTAGCTTTAATTTTCCAAAGTTACATCTCTTATAATAGCAGAAAGACAGAAAATTTAGACCTCACTTTGATAATTACCTGCCATAAACTGTAGTCATTATGATATCTGATTTATACCACCGGTTATAGTTTTATTGTTATACAAACAACTCCTGTAGTTCACTTGTATGGGATATGGTGAATGAAGTGGTCTTGTCGTCAGAATCTTCAGTTTTCAAAGTCCTAATCACCGAGTTACTATATTCATTCGACTTCTGCAAGCATAATGTATTATGATGGTTGTCTGTAGTTCGTGATCTCAAGAAACAATACTTCGTCCTATTGGACGTGTTTCAAGTTCAGATGTTATTCATTATCGTGTAAGACAATGTGTTTCACTTTTGTGCCAACTTTTTTGACCTTTAGTTTGTTAATTACCTTGGCTACCCACCACTTAGTTCCTGGAGATGTTAGTTTATCCACTTGCAGCTTACATCTAACAGTCAGGGTCTATTAGTTACTATTTGGGTAGTCTCCTAAGTTTTAACCTCTGACCACTGTATTAAAACTATGGAAACTCGCAATAAGATGCCTCAGTTTAGGTGACTACACTAAAGAGCCCAGAAAAAACCAAAATGGATAAACAAATATTTAGCTAGGTCAAAGAATTACAAATTATAAGGGGAGCGCAGGAATAACAAAATGTCCGAAATGTAGAAGACAGTGAATAAAGGCATTCTTATTACTGTCATAGGTTAAAGTCCATGTCACCAAATTTATTAAGTTCATTACCCCAAAGTATCGGTACCACGTGATTTACTTGATAACTCAATGTTTTGTATCGAATAGATTTAAGTTTTTGCAGTTTTCCCACACCACTGGTTACTTAAACAGTAAACTACTCAGATTTTCGTTTGTCCAAGTCGATTGGCAATTATGTTTGTTGTTCGCAATGTAAACCTTATTTGATTTTAATATTTATTTATAGCTTTGATTTATGGTTAAATATAAGGTATGTCTATTTATGTTTCAGTGCATCATCACTCATCACAACGCTCTTGCTTAACATTGCAAATGAGGCTGTAACGCGGCAGTTACGCACAGTATTTATCCGAAAAGAGGCTATTTTAAAATATGATTTCGTTCACGTTCATGGTTGCAGTAAACTTGTTACCTCCAATTGGGATAATGTTCATTTCGTGTAAGTTTACGTATTCGTTATCTCAACTGAGCAAACTTGACCATGTTAAAAACTAAATTCCCTATAGTTTTGAAAAGTTAAAGGTTGTTGGCACGAGTAGAAAATAGAGTGCACTTAAATCTTCTCCAAGAAATCATTTTGTTTTCATCAACAGCTATATATTGCTCGACTGTGCGAAGCATCATCCCTAGTGTTGTTGTCACTAGTTAAGTTTGATATGTCTGTTTTGATGTCACAGGACTGCAAAAAAGAGCAATACGGCGCGCTTATAATAATCTTTTGTGCCGAACAAATACCAGTGAGTACAAGTTCTGTGTTCAAACCATGCGACTCAAAACCAGTAAGTCGCAAGTTCAAACTCCACCTCACGTATTCAGACAGTCATGTAGTATCACCGGCTCTTATACATAAGATTCAATTCGAGACTGAAATAAATTATTATAATACAACTTAGTGGTACCACCAGAAACTTTTTTGTTTGAATAAATAAATAATATCATTATAATACTTCGTTCTTGTGTCTAATGAAGACATTTAATCACTTACAGATACCTGCCCTCTGAAGATGCATTAATACGTTGGTTCTCACATGTTCATATGGGACGAGGTTTTGCTGACGTTATTATTGTTGAAGGACTGGATCAGTTCGTGGAAAATGTAAAGAAACTCATCTTGGGATAAATTTTGTTGCTTCTGTTCTGATTATATTTACTGCTAAGTCGACTTTTCCGTACGTCTACAAAAACAAAGTTGGTTATGACTACTTCCATGTGTCATACGCGGATCAAATCACTTGTAATCTTCACTGAACAATATTCGGTTGAGTTTGTGTGTATGATAAGATCTAACATGTTCACGGGTCCATATGTTTAGTTTTTAAACTTGATCAGCTATTCTTCTATGAACTTGAGTTCGTATTTGGTTTTGTCTTTATTGTCGGTAAATGAAACATGATTATTAGTCCTTAAAATACAGAAAAAAGACAGTCCAAATGGGCACTAAAATGATCCAAACAAAACCAAATGATAAAGTTTTCTGAAATCATGGAATCAATAAACAAATCTTAAAAAACAAACAAATATAGTACGTGCTGACGTGGTTAAATTTGATTTTATGTATTTGCAAAATATATCCTCGCATTTATGAGGAAAGCATCGGTGAGGTCATCTATGGTTTCTGTTCTGAACCACATTTGATAATATTCCCATCTAATAAGTTGAACGATTCTTAGATCTCACTTAAGATGTTATGAATGATCAAAACAGAATCAGTGAACAAAAACCGGTTCTCCCTTTTCCGAAGTACAGATCTTGTAGATATGTTTAAGGAAAAGGTGTTTTAAAGAAGAATTGTATAAAACTTTATCGGCTAAGATAATATCGAACTTCCCAATCCAAATGAATGTGGGGAAAAATCGGGCGAAGTACCGAGTGCATTCCATAAAAATCGCATCAGTAAGGGAAATGATAGGAATTCAGCAGTTGGTTGAATATTGTTATACTACAAGACTTGATGAATATTGTCGGTTTTTAGCCTCATATAGATCTGTTTCCTTGCTGTCTAATTGAAAACCTGTTTTTATTAGATCACCGGTTGAAATCAAATGTAGAACCACTGGAAATCAGAGGAAACCCAAATATTTCGTTAGTGATCTATTAGTAGGAACCTATGATGCTATACGGGATTGAACTCTTCATACCGCACTCGTAATTGCTTGAAATTGATGACTGACCACTATGCAATAGCATTTTGAGAGTTTTTGTGGCCTATTTTAGAGTTAAATACCATTGAAACTGTCTGTCCTGTCCGCGTGGAAAAATTATTATTTGTTACGTTCGGCACAGCGTCTAATTCAACCTGATACTTGTCGTGATGTTATCATAGCAGATATCAACCTACATAATGACTTAAAGAGTATTCTTATTGCCACATACGTGCCATAAATACGATCTTTAAATTTGTCAATTTCTAACAAGTCTAATAAAATAATCTGCGGAATGAGTAAAGTTAAGGATTGTGCTCATTCTTAAACCATATGTATTTCTTAACGTCGATTATTATTTTTAGATTGCTTACTGCTAGAGACTGAACATGTCCGGCATTCTTTGTTTTCGGTGGTTCTCTTCTTATTTTTAGTTCACTGTAGAATTAATCCTTCACGGATTACTTGACTGATTAAAAGTTAACACTTTTAACAGTACTTTATTCTCTGAATATGATGATAATTGCTAAATTTACACATTAAAGCATAATAATACTTGTTTAAATCTACCTTTTCTAGGATAATGACTCATCATATATTATTAGATTAACTAATCTACTAGAAGATACTCGACAATTTATCCATAGTTTTACGAAAGAGACTGATCATGGTCATAACTGTAAACTTATAGTGTCTTCCAGTCTGAAGGGTTCACATGCATCCAAAAAATCTGATCTTGCACAATATCATCGTGACACGCTCCCAGCACATGCTCTGATCAGAACGTTCTTTTTGCAGGGAGGAGGTAAGCATCCACGTCTCACTGTTTATCTTAATAATTTTCGTTGGATGAAGTTGCAGTCATTTAAATTTAATGTAGCAAACTTATATTTAAGTCTGGTGATTGTTAGTTGTTTGACTCGGATTTGTTATTAGCAAATGATCTTGACTCGAATACAGAATTATAGATTGTATTCGTTCTGAAAAAACAAAATATTTTTATTTGGTAACGATGCAAACCGAATAGTATAGTGATTCCTTGAAATGCACTTGTAGGTTAAATAAGAGGTCATTTCTTAATGAGTTAGCTTGCAATGTCTGGTAAGTAAGTGACCTACGCTTATGTTTTTGGCTTCATACACAATTTGCTGGCTTTTATCATTGTTTACAAGTTGTGTCCAGATGAACTATTTTTCCAATGTGACCATCAAATAAAATAGTATATTTGTAATGTCCCAATGAATATAAAATTAGATTTTCTACTCATTGAGACATTACAAATATATTATTTCATTTATAACAATATACCCAATGCTCAATTTATTAGAAATTATCAAGTCAAACCTTGGTAATAATACCTACAGAGTTAAAGTACTTTGATAAAGTCTTAAACCGCAAGGAAAGTAACTAGTATACAGTTTTTTCTATTCACAAGTTAAATTGATTACTAGTACAATTCTCACTACATTACGGGTACATATTTGTATTTACCACACCCTATTTTAGTAACAATTAAGTAAATTGTAGAGTGTTTAGCTAAAAAATAGTGTTCAAAACTTATTTCGTTGTATTGCTTTAGCTGGGAGTGATTTATTTGATTTTTACTCAGTTGAAGATAATTGGAAGTTGAATTTAAAAAGACAATATGATGAAGTTTTCTGGACAACAAACCAATGAATTTTCAATGGATAAACAAGAACTGGCTTGGTTGTAAATATTCATTTTTTATTTTTAAATAAAAACTCGTTTTTACTTTGTGCATGTATTTATTACTGATTAGCTATCTTGAGTTACTTATTTGGTACATGAAATCTAGTTTCTGATGAATAAAGTCATATGGAAATCAAAATTTCACTGCTCAAAAGTAAGTGTTGGCGAAAAACTGGTCAGTTAAATAACTTATTAGGTTATTCAATGTTACTTCAGTGTACCTTGGAGAGTATGCGAAAAGATTTCTGGAACCACTGTAACATAATGCGTAATTCATGTGTGCTTTAGTTAATTGATTAATAAGATCTAGATGAATGACACCATAAAATTGGTTTTGGCACTGAATTGTGTAGTCGGGCACTGTTCGCTTACTTTTTTAACCTCTTTACAGTATTGTTTCGGGTCTTTGACGACTTACCAGGACGTCTTCATGTGTACTGAACGTGTTTGAATTGATTTCGTTTTCTATTTCTGTATACAATCAGTGGAATGAGTTTTTGATGAGTAAATGAGGCCATATGAAGTAGAGAAATGCACAGTATGAACTAATCATAACATCGGCTCATATCATTACTCTTGTTCTTGTGAACTCGTAGTTTCAGGAGATAAAAAGAAATAATGAAACAATTATGTCAAGCTCACATAAGAAGTTATGAGCATATGTAAAGATAGCCGTGATGCATGTTTTTGTACTATGTGCAGATTTGAAGTCTACTTTATTGTAGTACATCTGTTTGTTTTTCTGAAGCTATGAAATACAGTACTTTTGATAAACGTGCGAGAAACTGATGCTTAGAGTTTGATAATCTTAACAGTTACATTTGGTGATCGTAAACACGCAGATAGTTTAGGTCCAGGATCGCTAGTACATTGATGGTTTTAAATGTCAAACACTGACAATGGAGAATACTTTGCTTGAACAAAATAAGAAAACATAACATGCGTATGTAAATATATAACATGTCATGGGACTTCTGGTCCGATTATGTTTCGATATAAAGGTTCGTTTCAAAATTCACTGATGTCATTTAGATTAATATTGAAATTCAAGTACTGGAAATCTGTTTCGTTGTAGGATTTACTTCATCAGAAATTCCTATTCGGGGTTAGATCCAGGATTTCCAGTCATCGCAGTTTGTAAGATATTACATAGTCGCTTAGTACGGTCGTTAGTTTTTTCAACCTCAGTCAGTTGGCAACGGAACACAGTCATAATCGAATATCATCAATATACACACAACTTCCTTTTAATTTACTGAACTTTAGGGATGGAGGATTACCGGTCTAAGATTTGTCAAACTCATTTCAAAACAAGCCTATAATGAGGGGTGGATTACTATTGATTTAGGTTTCTATGATTTATTTTATTAAGTACATTTTAAATCACAGTCTAAAATCAGCTAAGAAATCAATAAAGATCTGAACAGGAAAAAAACAAAGCAAATATATGGTCCTTTACACCTTCAATGGCGACTTGTAATGAGAATGATCTGAAAGTGGTAAGTAGCTTCGTGTTTTACAGTACACAAAACAATACAAATTATTTTCGGTCTCAAAATCTACTTACCATAAACCCTGTTCGATAAGGAGATTAAATGAAACAGTACAGAACAGAAGGTTGTTTGTATTATAATGAAAGACGTTTTCTTCTGTTTCTAACTCTCTTATTTTCTTTTTTACAGTGTATTAGTAATCAAGTGTGAATTTTTATAAATATAGAAATATTACATAAGATGAATGCGATGTGAAGAATAAACCTGTTAGTTATTTGTACATACATTTGTTCATACAGAAACACAATAGTGATCTGTGTAGTTTGTTTAAAAATGAAGTGTAAATAAAAAATTAAAATATGATATACTTTTCAGTTTCAATTAATTAGCTAATTCCAGTTTCAATCTAATAAACAGTTTTTTTCTGTAAGCAAAAAGAAATAGAATGAAATCATAAGGAAACTTATAAATTAGCGACTTTATCTGAATTTTGATGATGTTAAGTGACAGGATTTGTTAAAATGAAGTCAGAGCGCAAAATAAGAAACAGGGAAGATAAACACAGAAGCAAAACAAAACTTGGGAATATTCATATATCATCTATTATTGAATATTATACAAGGAAGGAAAATGACAATGATTTATTTCTTACTATTTAACTTTCTCGAAAGAAGTAAATTAAAATAATTGTTGTATCATGATGATGGTGATTACTAGCTTGTGCTTTAAGAAGTGTTTTTCAGACAGTTTTTATAAGAAATAACATGGTTAGTTGCATCTATATTAAAAAAAATGTTTCGATATGTAGCCAACTTTAATGTGTATAGTAATCTTAGGAAAAGTATTGTAAATTGACATAGTAAATTGAACACATATATCTACTGATTATTATGTAGTAATGAATATTTCTTTGTTAAGCAATCGTTTCCCGTTGATTAAGTAATACTGGTTGTGCTGTTACTGATCTTTCAGTTAATAAACCATATTCTGAATAAGAAGTTTCTTTATCATCAATTGTATTCCTATTTAAATATGTTTCAGTTGAATTATCAATTTCAACTAAATGAACTTGACCTTGTGTTTCGTAAGTATATGTTGACATCGGATCATTTAAATCATGTTTCGATGAATCGAACTCTTCACCCCAACCAACATTTTCGTATACACTAAACGATTGCGAAGTAGAGTATCCTTGTGTCTGCAATGAATTTGTAGAAATATGAAGATTTAAATCACTGTTTAAACTTAATTATAGAGATAATTAAAATGTTATTTTTATAAGGAACGTATATGCTTTTGAATTTGAATAAAATTTAGTACCACAGGCCATAAACTTTGGTCTAAAAATCTTGATTCGACATTTCAAATTGTATTATCCTATGGATCTGTGCAATCCGTTCATTTAAAAGCCAGATTTGCAACTTTTGAGTCACAGAGTTAAAGTTAATTTCATCAAATCAAATTCAATAAATTAGGGAGCAATCCCAAATTGTATACAGTCAAATGTAATCTAAAACCTGTAGACACTCATAATTGTTGTATTGCACTACAACAAATATGAAATCTAATGTAGCTGGTTTACATTGTAGAATAGAAAGGTACGTAATAATTTAATGAATGAGTTGGTTTAAGTAAAAGACTATAGTTTTAGAGGAATAAACCCTACATGTATTGATATTTTTGACTACTTAAATGCAATTATCACTTTGTGTTTATGTTTCAAGAGAGTTTGTGTCGAAACTCGATAAAAAGAAGTTATGTGAGAATTTCAGTTTCTTTGAGATATTTAGTTTACAATGGTTTATTGATATCCCTTACATTGTACAAGGTTAATGCCAGCTGAAAAATATCGGTGTTTAAATATGAGTTCAACAGTTTTTTATTGACTAATTGGAATTACTCAAGAGTGAACTCATTTCGTTTTTAAATATTTTCTGTATTCTATGACCATAATAACAGTCTGATAAAAGAATGTTTGCAATATATGAATGAATTTCATTAGAATTGACGAGGTTCACTATAAAAATCTGATTTATCCCTTACAATACAGAAAATTAATACGAATAATGAATGACTAGTACACATCATTTATTTATTATTTTTTTAAAAGGGTTAAGCTAAATAGACATCAGTCGCGACTGGTGGAGATAAATCATATTCATAATGAAACAGTTACCCACCAAAGAGAATAAACGTTGTTCACACTACATCACAACCTGATTGAAGTTGAAAATGTGGACAGCTTGATCGTAATATGTTCACTACATTCTCTGCGAGGCTTGAAGGCTCTAGCTTCAAACTCAGGCTGAATATTACGTAGGTACTGCTGATAAATCGGGTATTAGGACAAAAAACTCTATACTTTGTAGTAGTTACTCAGTTTGGCGAGTCCACCTAGGGGGGTTGGAAAACCCTTGATTCCAACCAATGGTGCACATGGGCTCCAGTATCCTGAAGGAACAAATGGCGTACGAATCAACCATTGATCACCGGCTACCATGGGACTGCATCTTCTCACGATGCTCCACTGCCTTGTGGACTAGACCTTCAGGTCAAAGGCTCCGAGTGAGGCCCCCTAAGAAAACCACCTGCTTCAGTCTGGGCACCTGGGCAGTATCACAGCCCTCACACAAATCAAATGAGATTTGTGAGGTGCATGTTTATCTGGTGCTTTTTTGTACCAATATTTATGTGTTTAAATAAATAAATAAAAATAATTACTCAGTTTATACTAGCCTTTAACGAAAACAAGCTGTATTATAAATCATTTCCTTTACCTTAAAAAAAAGCAAAACAGTGCTCACCGGAACTATTGTATAAGTGCAAGAGTGGGAGGTATAAACTTCATCTTCACTACTCTTTGGAGAGAGAGAGTGAAACACACTAGGAAACATCACTTCGTAAAAACACAGCTTTGTAAAGAACATGCATATTTGTACAACACTCAAAAAAAGAAAACCATAACCAATATGAAGGAATATTTGATTTCCTAACATTTTTAAATCATTAAGAAATGCAGTAGTGGATAATTCGAGCAATTAAAAAGAAGTTATGAAATGATTGGAAACTAATAAGCTTCGATTAAAGTTAACTTTTCCCAGTTCTAGAAACTGTACAGAAAGATCTATTTCACTATTTAAAAATCTATTAATGAATGTACTTGGTATAGTTCAACAGTGGATAAGTAAGAAACATTCGGTGAATATCTCTTTTATCCATAATATTCGATGATAAAGATAGGTGTATTCAGATATGAATTCACGTGATTTTGTACATGCATTTTTTCCAGTAAATACACATTTATAAATTTGAATTGATCTACTTCAACTGTTCAAGCGATAAAAAAAAACAAAGAGTGGATATTTGAAAACACTTCCAAAAATTGCAAACTATAAGGGTCCATTATTTTCATAATCTATTTACTATCGTACGTGTAGTTTTCTTTCTTTGATTTGCTATACATGTTATTCTGTTAATTTGTAGTTGAATAATTGTTTGTGAGAACTAGTTAAGTTTGAAAAGAGTTATGGCCACCAACCGGTATCTATTAGAAGGTTGTTCAAAAACAGGGAATAGTTTTTGTAGTAATCTAAAACATACAAGGAGTGCGAATTCATAACTCCTCTATTTTTACAGCCATCAAGTTATATGTGAAATCATTGGGTCGCTATTTAATTTAACATATCTTGGACCTCATCAAAGTTAAACTGGTCGCCCCGACTCATCCCACTGAGCAATAGTCGTAAGCTCACTAGTAACTGGCTTTTCAACCAGTGCCTGAATTCTTGGTGGGATTTACCAATCTAAACTATTGAAGCCGTTATCACCAAGTGCATTGTATCGTCTACCCTATAGCTAGTTGAAAATGTGTACCAGTGCATTCATTTTGGTGGTCAGGATATATATGTTCATCGCGAGAACTGAAGTGTCTGGACCCTGTTGTATGCATATTTTACGATATGAAATAATTGACTAATAGTAATTTCTTTCTCAATATATATATATATATATATAGTGGTATAATATAGGGTAACTCCGCCTGTAGCTCCTCTGGGGGTTGCTGCCGGTCCCAAGCCCGGGTAAAGGGGGAGGGTTGGGCATGGGGTTAGCGACCCCATCCCGTAGAAAATCAACTCGCTAAAAAAACGCTAACCAGAAAAAACCATTTAAACTCTGCCCTGGGAGTAGAAGGAATAATTATGACGTCTCATGATGAAAGCCGAGTTCATTCGGAAGTCATGAGGCCGATGCACCTTCTTACAACCAGAGCAACAATTTTTATAGGTACATGGAATGTCCGGACAATGCGGGAGACCGGAAGAGTCTTCCAAATTGCTGCAGAAATGAGAAATAATATAGGGTGCTTGGAAACAATATTTTTGGTGCAGTAGTACAAAACAAATTACCAAACAACAAAAATCGCACAACACTTTCCCACAAGACATAAAATCCCTTACTTTCGTTTAAAATATTTTGAGTACCCTGGGATAAAACGTTCAAAGCATTAGAAACGTACTGAATAACAAGTGACAAGCAATAAATATTTTAAACTTCTATTAAACTGGTTAAAACCCACTGAACTCTAGATAGAAGTTCAAATAAACAGCATGAAAGTGCTCACTTCTTGTTTATATTAAAGTATATGATTACATCTTATTGCTGGTTGTATGCTTAGCTATATGCAATTTAAATAGTCATTAAATATAAACCTGTTTCTATGGCTAGGTAATATAACGAAAGTTCCATGCAGTGTTTTATATGGAAATTATACATTAAAAGATGTAGAAGACGAAACATCATATTAGATAACATTGACCATATTAACAATGACAGTGAAAGACAAGCAGCGTTTCTTGTTGGGTCACTGGTCGCTAATTAAAATGATACAGCTGTCCAGTACTTCGTCGTTCTCAATAATTCATTAACAGATGTTTGTTAGTGACGAAGTTTTATTTGCATCAAGGGGAGAATCTGTTTTTTTTCCATATTTTACACTTCAACACATTCTCTACCATGTTCTTTGAAAATTGATAGTTCCGAAAAGGAATAATATAAGTCGTTAAATCTATTTAGAAATATATGAAATATGAATAAAGATGATCGTTCGTTGCCCGAGTAGCCCAGTAACAACGTTTTCGACTGTTACATTGTGTAACACGAGTTAGAATGCCCCATGGAAGTATAAGTTTCATCAAGAGTATCGGTAAGCTTTTTTAAGATGATTACCAAATGGAACGAAACTTTCACTTCGAGTTTTCTTTTGACTATCTTCAACTACTTATCATCGCACTATAGTGTGTGAGTGTGACTTATACTGGTGACCACGTTAAAACTTGGTCGATAGAATTCAATCGGCAATAATGGACTAGACAAACAAGACACTTGTACTATACAGCAACTCTTAATTTAGTAACCCAGTCTTCCATTACATTTAATTGTTTCAAGTCTTCTATTTATCTTCAACCATTAAACTTGTATCAATCATATTATCTGTCAGTCATTCGTATGCTTAATATGTACTTATGAACACTTAAGATAATTACATGAACTGAGATATATTTATATATTTAATAAATTTAAATATTATTCACTGAGTCTGGTTAGTGTTTTCTTGGGTGAGGTTGTTGACCCCATGCGCAACTCTCCTTTGTGTGGGCTTGGGACCAGCAGTAACCCTAATAGAGCTAAAGGCGGAAAACATCAAACTGCATCACGAGGCAAGCCCTAACTTGGAATTCTGAAGTGAAAAGGAAAAGAAGAAGACCAAAAAACACACTGCGCTGAAAGTTGGAATAAGATATCAAAAGGATGTATAGCAACTGGAAAAAACTGGGAAGAATTACCCAGGGCAGAGTTGAATGGAGAATGCTGATGGGCGGCCTATGCTCCTCCTCGAGGGGTAACAGGCATAAGTAAGTAACTATGTGATTATTTACTGAGTGTATTAGGTATTAAATACTGACATTAAGAGGGATTATTCTGTATCTAACTATGTTATTCTCAAGTAAAATGAATATTCATTTCAAATTAACTGAATGTTTCATTTTACTAGCTAAATATCTAGTTTGGTGACAAAACAATCAGTTTAAAGTTTTACTTAAGTAACATTAACTTGTCAAAACTTGAGTTGTTGAATGATCTCATGGATAGTTTGTTTCAGTCTTCATCTTAGAAATAATGAGATAATAAGTAGTTCTTCAATGTTCAATTACATATTTACCTGTCCTGGTGCTAGATTAACAAAACTAGCATATGGTGTTACATTGTTCACATCAGTTTCGTCGTTTGGATTATTACTATTATTATTATTACTATTCATCATTGCACGATTACTTCCGCAAACCATGTTATTTCTATCAATTCGATTAGATAGGCATGTTCTCGGTGGCAATCGTTCAGCTTGGTAATTTTCTTTTTCTCTGTAAAGTAATTAAATAAAGGGTTTATGTATTTTTGTTACCAGGTTATTATGTTTTTGACTTTGCTTTCTTGTTGGATATAAGATAAAAGTAAATAAAACAATCAGAGTCGTAGTTTAACTCAAGCCCATAGGTTATTAGGTTTTTGCACTAAGAAGGGAGTCACAAAACTCACCTTTTAATCAAACCTCAATTAAAAGTATACAACTAATGGAACTTGACTTCAGTCAAAAGTGAAGTCTAATGGTACTGTTTCTACCAGAATTAAATCACATTATACATAGAATTAGTTTAGTTATTTCACTGAGGTTTCAAGAACAACCTTACAATTGACAATTCCTGTTTAAAAGTCGTGGGATAAAATATTTCTAAGTCTAGTAAACGCAGCATAATAATGGTATTAATAATAGTAATATTAATAAGTTTACTAAAAGACCGAAATGGGATTTTGTACCGCGAATCAGCCGAGCAAAAAAACAATACCGTTGCTCGCTGTACTATATTTAAAAAAAAATTATGATACTTTTCTAATTCATTACTTATAAATAGACAATGTTTCATATCCACCGATTGTGATGTCAAATTTTTTATTTACTTAACTCTAATGAACGATCTTTGACCAAAATAAATTGATCTGTGTATATTTTAAGTTTTCCGCAGATGGATAGGAACATTAGGATACGTTTTGTCACAGATGTCCTCCTGAAAGCAGCATTTTCGTCACTTGACCCTCCAGAGGTTGACCTCTTACAAGGAGGCTTGTTTATTGGCTTAGAATACACAGATGACATAATCCCATTTGGTGAAAATGTCGACAAAATGCAGTCTTTTGATTGTCATGAGGAACTGTGATAGCATGTTTGATATGCATTTCTCGCTCTCCAAATAAATAATATTACATCAGGATATTAAAATTGGAATTATTGGTAGGAATTGAAATAGTTGAGTGAGTTGAACATCTCATTTATCTTAAAAGTTTCGTAAGCTCAGGTGGGTTGGTGTCTAAACAAATTTTGACATGGATTAGAAAGTCTCACGGTTTTTGTCAACACAAGTCGCTTGTGATGTAGGTAAGGAGTTCATCAGTCAATTAAAAGCCATGCATACTACTCTGCAGTTCATTCTATATTATTTTTGTACTCGTAAAACATAGATTTTGAAAACAGGCTGCATATTTTTGATTATAGACTTCCTCAAAGCATGAGTTGCACATTTGGGAATGATAGTCAAATGATACCGTGAACTTGTATTTGGTTTGCACAGATATCCCAAATATTATGGTTTATAGAAGCAACTACTTATTTGAATTCATACTTAATTTGGTGAATAATTATTAAAGATTTAGGAAATAATGGGCGCTCCTAATTTTGTTCCGAATATCTTGGTTTATCGATAGTTATTCAATTATAACTCTCTTGAATACTGTCACTAATAAATCTTCGGTTTATCTGCGCATTAATATTCTGAAATTATGACTACAGTGAATTAACGTGGCAGATGTACTATTTGGAAAGCTCTGCTACTAAATACGTTGGTTACAACTTGTCGTTATACGCAGTTATAGAAAATAATCAAAACAGTTTTAGTGTAGGCGTTGACCTTTGGTTCAGTGAGTGACTCATTGGCTCGTTGTAATTCATGTTTACGCCCACGCTTATATTTCTCCACCAAAAATGTTAGAACTTTAGTCAGAATTATTTTATGGACTTCGGCTGCTGTTTATTTGTACTATATCCCTTGTTAATCAACAGATCTCAACCTTTTTACCTAAGTGATTTCATGGGTTACATTTAGTCTTTAAATAATAAAGTATCTTCACAACACTGTTTTTATAAAAGTATATAGGTCTTTATTACGTTGGCAAAACCCATTACCTCAGTAAACATCGATTTAACTGAGACTATGTGATAGTTTGGGAAAAACCTTAAGTAAAATGGAAATTATTACTGTATTAACTTGAAATGAATAGCTTAATTTTAAATTAGTAAGATATTTTTTGAATTACTAAAATCAGTGCCCACGTTACAAAATATGAATTCACGGTGATTACATAACAGTGACTGATTTTCATTTCCAATGCCATTATCTTGTTAACAATCACATCGTGTGATTATTTCTTCGGCATTAACACTATATAACCAGCTTAAATGTTTCAAACAAGTTACTTTTATAAAACTGACGTTTTGTTACTGTCCTTCAAAAGATGGAAATGAATTCATTTTCTACTTCTTTTAAACGAAGGGCTATCAGTTTTCACAAATTCAGGTTGTTGACTCTTGGTGAGTTTCCCGATGAAATAATTGACCACTGATAGTAGATGATTTACTAATATTACAAGTATTTACTCAGTGATGAATAGATCCTTATATTACGAGCAAAGTATTGGCTAAAAATAATAAACCAATGGATGGTTCTGAGAAGTCACATTTGTCCACCTTTTGTTTACTTTATTGTTTTGGGCCAATCAATATTAAAATCATTGAAAAGAGTTTCAAATATGGTTCAACAAGGCTAGCACAATCATTGAGTTCTGGTGTGGACAGTGTAAGGGTGGATAGGCTACCGAAACAATATATGTCAAATAGCTGTAATTCGAGGGATAATCACTGAGTAATATGACTAAAAGTCATTGATAAACTTATTCACTGGTAATCCTTCTCAAAACTGTGAATATAAAAACATATTCAGTCCAAATGTTTCGTTTCTTTTCATTGCTTTCCTTTCCAGTCTTCTGTCGATTTAAGGATCTATATTTTAGTTAGTTGGTTTTCTTCATCTTGATTTTTTCTTGCTTGGCTGATATGAAGTGTAAAGGTCAAGATAAAATACTAATTTTCGTAAGATCCTATGTTGTTTATACCCGTCTCTTGGGTAAATTTCAAGTTATTCGTTGTGTATATATTCTTCAGACAACCAAAAAAAGAGAATAACTCTTGGATTATTTGAAATTACTATTTTTTTAGGAATTCTTCATCAGTTATAAAGATCTATATAATGTTCCTCACGATAACAAAGAAAAGACTGAGTTTATCTGAACAGACAAGAATGCGTTTCCGTCAACCATCAATTCACAATGCTTTGTTTATTAGTTGATGATAACTGGATTAGAGAAATCCTACAATAAATATTAACTGAATTACAATAAATATTTACTCATTTCCTTTGAATAAAATAAGTAAATAAACAAGAAATAAATTCTTGGGCGTGACGCTTAACTAAGAATATAATTATATGTGGAATTCGTTAGTCAAACACCATTTGATCAATAAAACCTGTAATCAGCCAGTCCTGCATGAAATGGTTAATTGAAAAAGGTAATAAATTCACAGGAAAATTTTCTGTTTTTTTGATTACAATAAGAATTAATTAGATAAAGTAATTTCGGTTGTGTTGATGACTCGAAATATGCCACAAAGTAATCATAAGTCTGTTTAAACTCATATTTAGATAGACTTTAATTAGGAGATTCGTAGCTGTTATTGTACAGTACTAAGACAACTTGATTATTTTAATCTAATAAATACTAACGATTAGTGAATTTTGCATTGTAAAGTGGATTGTTAGAATTTATCTGTTCTATTTCAATGGGTTGAAATCCTTCCTTTAGCTAGTGTAAGATTTAAAAAAACGCTGAAATTTGGTTATTTAAACAATCAATAAAAACAACTATATAAAAGTTAGACATCTTGATGTATTACCACTTCATTAAATATTCTGATTATGTTTACTGCCTTTTTGTTGCTCAACAATGTAACAACTGGAATAGTTCCTTTACATGACTTTCAATGTTTACTATTTATCTAAAAGTCGGTAAAACTTCGTAGGTAAACACTTCACTCTTCACGCTTTTTGAATATTTTAAGGTAGTCGAGAAATTTCTGATGTTCAATATTAAACTATTTTTTGATTTAACAAGTTGCCTTCCAGTAGTAAGTAGTATCATGTTATTCAACTAAAAAACGTTGGCAGAGCACCAATAGATTTTCAATTAAGATTTCGGTGCTTTTCTTTCTGCTTCACACATATTGTCGAAAATAGAATAATAATTTTGTTGTATTTACGTTTTATAATTAGGAATAATAAGTCTGAGAAAAAATATATTTCGTTTTTAGACACCAGATTATTTAGTAAATGTAATTGATTACCGCTCGAAATATTAGCTTCTATGCCCTTAGATACCTAGGATAAAATTTATACAAGAATTGAGTTGGTATAGACCACTTTGAAGAAGTTTTATAAGTAAAACATGCCATTATCCAGTAAAAAGCTGCATATGACCAAAGTCTCCATCATTTCGTTGTCTTGAAGTGACTAGATGCGACTGAAAATCTTTGCTATTTCAGCCAAAGAGTGAAGATACATCTGAAATATTTCTGTTTATTTCGAACTTAACATGATCAAAGATGGAATTTATGAAAATTCAGCCTAACAAATTGAATTTTGCCAATATTTGTTTCTCTGAATTTTAGACATAAGTAGAATACCAGTAATAAGATATGCCAACCTGGTCAATTTCAATATGTTTACTTAAATAATTTTTATACCATTCATCCTAGAGAACATCCATCCCACTTTTGATATTCTCCTATACCTATTATTACTTTGATTATAGATGATTAGGTCAGGTTAACGCATATTTACACAAAAGTATGTTCATTCTATTTTTACCCCCAATAAATATGTAATGCCAAATCGAAAATTACATTCAAGTTTGATTGTTTCTAGATTTACAGCAGAATTAAAAGTTTGTTTTCAGTATATATGAAGACGATTATTACTTTGGCAATATATATATATATATATATATATATATATATATATATATAATCTGTTCCTTAAAGCATGGGATACAAATTGCTATCGTTATGCAGATAAATTTCAGTGCAACATGCAATAATGTTTTATTATTTTTATCAATTGTTTATCAGTAAAAGAACTTTTATCACTTCAAACTAATAAAATATTTTCTTCAGAATTCGGACTTACCTTCTTTTTTTTCGTGAGCTGAAATAAAAAAATATTGAAATTAAAAGGTATTTAACATTTCGTTTGGCTTTATGTGTATATGCATTTATATAGTGTGATTGTAAAACGAAAATGGTCAATATAAATCTTCTGGTTATCTATTTTTCAGCTATTCAAATATTGTGACGGATCTTCTTTTTTTTCAATATTGCTTTTAACATTCAGTCATGCCCATCCAAAACGTCATCTATTCATCTGGTTTTATGAAGCGTTTTCACTCTACCACCATGGTAAATATTATATACAGTAATTGAAGATATGGTAGTTATTTTTATTATTTTACTCTCTGATAAAAAATAGTGTAAATATATTAGAATAAATACACATTAACGGCTGAATAGAAGCTTCACAATGATATTTTTTAAAACATATATTATGCAATACAAAATGAATTTTGAATAGAATCAATCTAGACTATTAGCGATCGGAATACGAGTAAATTTCTACTATTATTATCTTAATTGAAATTTAGTTTTCGGGAAGTTCATTGAAATTTAATTCTGGTACTTTGATCTGAAAAGTTTTTTAATTAAATTCAAAACAAAAGTTTAAATAAATAATTTTCAAAAAGTTACTGATATCAGACTTAATTAACAATTCTATGACTGAATAAAAAAAGAAATACACGTAGTAATCTAGTCGAACTTAAGAGAAATGTCTGCATTAACTGAGATAAAATGAATTTTAATCAGTTACGTTGAAAATGCTTATTTTTTTCTATTTTTAGAACTTATTAATACTTTGGAGTATTAAAGGCAATCATTAGAGGAGACTATATGTTATCATATATTATAATCAGTTCACTTAAAATATTATTAGTAAGGTAAGAACAGAAACAAAATACGTCAAAAATTTGTTTGTTTCTACTGTTAAATTTCCCCATGCTATAATGCTACGTGACAAAACTGGTAAAATACGGCTGCAGATTGTATATGCGGCGGTACCAACAAACTATTACTTCAGGAACAACATCATCTTGTCGCATTATCATTTTGATACTAATAATAGATATTTCTGTACTCGAAACATTATTCAAATAATGCATTAAAAAATCAGTATACCTAACTGCATAACAGTATACAATTCCTGAGTACACACCTCATTGTTGTTTACACAGAATTCATATTCCAAGGAGAGTGAAATAGAGTTATTTTAGTTCCATTGAAAATTAAGGAAAAATAATTTGGAGCATATACGTCTATTTTGAGATAGGGTTTTATGACGAAGATAAATTTTAAAGTAAATTACTAACTATCAAATTGCTGATTGTTTTTTCACTCCATACTTATTTATAAAACTGTCATGATTTGGATGAAAATATAATTGTGTCATGATTACGAATAGTTTACTTCTTACAATGGGGCAACTTTTTCAAATTGAATACTCTATTAAGTGCATAAAAAAGTTTTCGCGGATATGAACTTAAATAAAAGAGATACTTTAGGTTACTTTCATTATTTAACAATAATGAAAATCAACATTCTATATGATTTTAGAAGAAAATAGTTTTGTATTGACTGGAAGAATAATTTTTTGTAGAAACGAATTTTGATTTTATTGACCTAGAACACTGAAATCAAAAAAGTATATCTTACCAGTGGACATTGCTTTGAAGTAAAATTTGGAATTATTATCATTCCAATGAGGAGCAACGATCCTTCTTATATTATAAGTCAATATTTCTCTAAATATATTAATTCATTCATTAAATAATAATTCGTCATGTTTTATGTGTTTACACTTGTTTCCACTAATTTTGAACTAAAAAGATTTTTTGGGTAATCCATAAAGCATAATGGGGTCACAAATCATTAATCTATGTATAATAACTAACTTCCTGAACCACTCGATAATAAAAAAGGTTCCCTTCAGGTGACTGATATATTTTTTAAAACTTCTAGAAGTTTGTATAGGGTATGTTACGAACAGATTCTATTAGCTTAGATGTACTGAGCCGTCAATTTATTGCACGACAAGGCTGCTACACAGATGATCGTATCAGTCCATGGTGTTACATTCACATTTTCATATGAATACATTCACACCATGAGGACAAAACGTTTTATTTCAATTAATAACTATCAAGTTTTTGCACATACCATCCAGATGAATAAATAATAGTACGCTATCTAATTAAAAATGATAGAGTAGTCCTAAATTCTAGATTGTGTCGTTTAACCGCTTAAATCGAATATGATTAACAATATAAAAATTTAAAATCGAATAAATAAATTTTGTTTTCCAGATCACAGGACATTATTTGAACAAAAAAAGTCGGAATTAAGTAGGCGTTATATGGAGCCAGAACTTTATACTGTTTAACTCAACCAAAATTCTAATTGACGCATAAATTAAATTTAAAATGTGTCTTTAGAAAAAAAAAATTTTGTACTGATTTTATAATTGGAATTCTACATTTTCAAAGTTTAATAACTTGATAGACAAAATTCTATGATAATGTATGATTCACTGGAAACTTTATATTCAGCAAAACTCTCCATATTATATGGTGAATTTTTCTATCTTCCATAAGAAAAACTTGGTTTATTGAAGAGTTCCTATATTTTGGCGGTTAATTGTTATCATGTAGAAAAATCAATAAAATATGTTGAAATATTACCTACAAAAAATCGGTCATTTTTTTTAGAAACATCTCTTGTGATTTAAGTTGACTGTTGGATCTCAATATGATAAATATTATTTATGGTTTATTGGTGAAACAATATACTATTAGAATTTTTTAGTCGTGGTATTCCAAAAACTATTATAGATATTTTATGAGATTTCACTTGTAATACGCAAATTACTATAAGTAAATCATACTGTAAACGGTATTCAAAGGGATACTTGTTTGAAAATAAAAATGTGTTTTACAAGTCCTATGTATATACTGTGTAATTTTTAAACCTACATTTCAATAAAACCACGTATTGAGTACACTTCTCTTTACGTATTGTTAAGTGGTCTTTTGAAAGAATGTTTAAATTATTGACAGCTATTATTATTCATGTATTCATGCAATTAAAAATCACACTGAAGGAGTACTTTATTCAATTATTGCTCATCAATTGTTACATTGACAGTACAAAGTAAATAAATTATATTGAGTAACTTATTTTACATATTTTTGAGGGAAATGTGTTATTTTGAACAAAATAAAATTTAATCTCGGTTGAATAATTCAGTGCATATTCATCAAGTTCACATTGATCACATGATAAGTAGATCTTTCTATAATGTGAACAGGTTTTCTCTGTTCCACTTTATACCTATGAGACGTATTCTTTATTAGTAGAGGATATTCGTGGGTTCTGATATTTGACCATAGATGTATTTGGAGTATGGCTTCGATACATGTGGATCATCGAGAAAGTAATTCTGAGTGTTGTGTTGTGCAAAGTTGGTAAACTGTTTGAAGATAAAGTGGATCTCCACCGAATAAAATGGTTTAAAAATATGTCACATATCTCTAGCCACCACCTACCTTAACGAATGATGACGGCTGATGTAGACGTATGTTAAAATAAAGATGGATGGTCAAACCAGGAAGTGGTTCCAGCCCATAGAATCACTGATAATGGGAGTGAGTCATGTTTGTAGGTGTAGACTATCTAGTTGTGGTCTGGGCGATAATCGGAACAAAATACAGAAGTCACTGAGTAACATGACTCATGGTCAATCGTAATGAAACAGATGCGTTCGTATTTTGTTTTCACATAGATCTCAAGTTTAAAAATTATTTATACTTCTTTAGGTTGAGAATTTATTTTTCTACTCGAATTATGTTATCTATTTTTGGTTTTGACTACCAGTGATGATACCGTTACTACTTCTACAACTTTAAGATGCCATGATAACTTCATCTTACTGTAGTAGTGTTATATCAACCTTGGTAGTTATACAGTTACCGTACTAATTTTTGTTTAAAATGAGACTTTCCCGAAGCATTGTTTCCTGAGTAAGAATGATATTATATATAGAAAGTCAAGGTATGGAATGAATTAATATTTTCAGTGAAAATAATGCAAGCTCCATTAACCGTATGTTAGATCATGTGCTACAATAATAATCATAATAAGCCTATATCCATAAATTGATCTTTATGGTGGTAAACTGGATGGTTTATCTATTAAGAATGAAATAGTTGTATTATTGTTCCCAGAAAACTTTATGGCTATGGTGTAGCAAACATTGTAAGAAATTTTGAGATTTCCTTCAAAGAAAAATCATTAGTCAACTTAAATACAAATCTAGAGTAACTCAAGTAACATGAGTTAAAAAAAGGCAACCACCGTAAAACAGAAAGAAATAAAGTTGGACCTCTAATGTTTATGTCACTGTGATTTTTTTCAATATACTTATCTTGTTTTATCACTCACTGAAATCATATTTGTGAAGATCTGCTATCATCAGATTATGGATTTGCCTTTTTCAATTATTAAGACAACTTCTAAATAACACTGATTTAATTTATATATAAACTTATAGTATAGATTAATTAATGTATGCCAAAGTATATAATAAGTAGCTTTTTATAGTCCACTTCGCATTTGTTTTCCTAGGCTACGGGAACTAATCCACTGAAAGCTTTCCTATATGGTTTCACATTATAAGCAAGATGGTGGTAGGAGGTGGTCAACAGGAAACATTTGACCCTGGTTTCGTGCTACTCGGCACTCTTCAGCAAGGTGTACCTGTGATCTTGAGGGAACTGGTGCTCCCTGATGGATTCGATCCCGTTTCACATAGCTTCACAGTCAGAGACGTTATGACTGAGCTATTCAGGCAGCGACCAACCTCCTGTAGGACTGAGATGTAATCACAACTGATTGATTCCCAGCCAGTGATCAATCAATTGTGATCACATTATTAGTAAAAATTCAAGAAATCATATACGAAATCTTATGCTATTATTAGAGAAGAGAAAATCTTGTTAATAAAAAGTTTAGTTTAAATAATTCATTCAGTTTTGCTCAAAC